TGTGAGAAACTAAAACTGCATTTTTCTTCCTCTTGTCCTAGAAAGAGATGAAATCCATTGCTCTTTGTCAGCTCCCTTTAAGCCAGTTGTCACAGGCCTATCCAAAAGTCATCGCTACTAGTGGATAATTCAGATGTTCATATTATGATACTTGCTTTACCTTTACATTTGTTGAGCAATTTATGTTTTATATTTAAATGATCATCACTGCTATCTGGAGACTTGTCCTCAGTACAGCAGTTGGAGTTAGTTTACTCAATTAAGCGTAGTAATTTTATATTTCTGTCACTACCGGGAGCCATTCTGCAAAACACAAGCTACACAGAGTGACTAAATTGGCAGAGTAATTGGATTAACAAACAGTGATTCGTTATGGGAGATATGCATCTGCCCCGCTTCCCCCTCCCCCCCATCACTACTAGCTCAAGGAGCTACATTTGAACTTCCACCTCCCACTCCATAGACCAGCTCGCTCAGGTATAAAGCATCACACAACATGATTTAGTGACTGTGGGTGGACAGGCAATAGAGTAGGGCACTGAAATATAGATCAATCTGACAGTACTGAAAAGATAAGACTTAAGCAGCCATTACAAAAACATAATAGGATTGCATCAAGTTCTGTGCAAACAGACCAATACTATGGTACCAATTAGTTTTCTGTTTATATTCATTATTACAACAGCTATCTTGGTTTTTAAAAATATTTTCCTGAAGGCTAACTCTCCCTTGAAATGTAATTTATGAAAAGATAAAAGACCAAAAGAAAACAAAAATAAAAAGTCTTTAAAGAAGTCAGGGCTGCTGAGAAGTTAAAAAGTATTTCAAGACCCAGAAGAGCTGGAAATGGGATATTTTTACCTGAGATAAGAGAGATAACAAAAAGAAAATGGCGCCATTCTGCATTTAGCATCTAAAACTTAATGACTATAGCTGTAGTACTCATTAAAGAGCAGGTCTCCCCAAAGCAGCTGCGAGTAGGTGGAAGTTGTCCCGCCTATCTTTTAATTTCTTTTGCCACTCATCTGGACAGCAGCTCTACAGTCTGCAGAGATGTTGGACAGTGTGATGTGCTACTGGATATGGGAATTACATAGTAGAGTACTGTGGCTGTGTTGCCTTAGCATAATATTTGCACAGAGGATCTGTAGCAAATGCATCTTTGGAGTGAACCTCCAGATGAAGCAATAGAGCAGACCTGAGTCATAATGCTTAGAAAACATACTTCATAAACAAAAATAACAAGATAAAAAAGGAGCAGATCTAGTGGAATTTCCCATCCTCAATTTTTTTACATTTTTTTTATCCTAAGAATATGAAGATAGCTGTGCTTCATAGCTAGATCAGGTCAAAAAACAAGCAGGCAAACAAAACAAAAAAACAGCTAATTGAAATTTTATCTCAGTTCAAACAAAGTATGAAATTATTTGTAGGTATGGCAGTGTGCAGTGACTACACATATTCAGGATAAATTATACAAGTCACTCACATAGGTGATACTTAGGAGTAAAACAACCAGCCAAGGTTCTTCTTAATTAAGTTATAACCAGCTATCATGTCCTCTCTTTCATCTGTGTACTTTCCACTGAAACTCATTACAGAGTAATTTAGTTGTAGAGAACTGTTGCTAGAGGAAAATACGGAGCTTGACAGTCACAACGGAGACAATTATTTAAAGTTTAAAATTTAATGTAGACATAAAATTCATCAGAAACTGCTCCATGGTTTATAAATGAAAAACTATAGCAAATGACTTGAAGTCTGTTTTAGATACAGCAACATGCCCAGATAGAGTGCATTAGGAAAAAATTGTTGATTTAAAGCATATACACTGATGGTGTCATTAGTGCAGTCCTAGTCTACCAAGTACCACACCCCCCAAAAAACCCAAATCCCTTGCTCTTTTATTGCTTTTCACAAGAAGGAATTAGTTTTCTAGCTTAATACAGGAAATGTAAGTGACATCAGCAAAATGACTGAAAAAAAGATTTTTCCTTTTGCCAGTGATCAACTTGGAATGGCAGTCCCTTTACTAGGAAGGTACTCACAGTCAACAGCTCTTTGACAATTAAGAACATCGCTTGAGTGGTCACAGGAAAGAATTCTTTGCAAATGTCTACAGCATTATGTATCTATAGGGATGCAAATAAAGAACTTATGACTTTAACTAGTATTTTGATTGTTGGCACTCAAAAGTCCATGAAGCTCAAGGGCAGAAGCAGGAAATGTGTTTGGAAGTTTCTCAGGTGTTCAGTTAACATCGATACTTTTCTTACATTGCATCACAAAATGTTTGTGTCAATATGCCAGTCACAGATTCTTTCCCTTTTTTAGTCATATCAAGTATAAGCACTATTCAATGTAATATTTCTCATAACAGGAGCACTCAAAACACTTTTCCACTCAGTGGGAGACAGATTAATCACTCTAGCCATCTGGTTTCCCAAAGTAGGTGTGCAGGGTTTTTTCCTTTGCTGTAGCTGTGTTTACCATACCCACAACAGGAGGGCTTTACAGTTGTACTCTCAGACAGCTGCAGAGGTGGTCTTTATCAACACGGTGATGTCCTCTATCCAATTCTCACACAACGTTATCCACATCACACATTGTCATAATCAACACAGAAGCCAAAATCGCAGAGACCAAACTGCCCTCTTTCTGTTATGGGATTTTATTGTTTGTGACAGGGGAGGTTGACAGAGCAGTAAGGAAATTTGGAAGTGTCACTGCTCTGTGCAGTGCAGTCTTATTTGACTAAGTAAAATATTTTGGTATTCCAGCACTGTCAACCTGAAGATCCAGTTCTTTCAAGCCTAAACATAGGTTATAAAAAATATATTAAACAGGAAAATATTCAAGGTGATACCTTCACCTCAGTGTCAAAGTATATTTTGATATGATAATAAATAACAAGATACTTTTTTGGTTTATCAGTAATGTCCATATGAATTAATAATGTCTAGATGATATGCATGCAAATTTAATTATCTTAATTAGCCTATTTTATCTTCATTACAGAGATTTATTCAGTATTCACTCCATTATTTTCCCAGTGTTATTCACTATCTCAGCTAATGGTTTACTGCATAAAGGGAGGTGTCATCCCCCTTTTATTTATCTCCCTTGTTAAACAGCAGTACAAGTACAAAAGTCAGACATTTGACATTTATATACCCTTTTTATTTGCTTAGGTGTATTTGCGCTTGGATCAGCCTGTAACAGCTTTGAATGTGTTCAAGCAAGGGTTAGATCGATTTCCTGGAGAAGTGACTCTTATTTGTGGAATTGCCAGAATCTATGAGGTATGCACCCACAATGCAATCCTTACTGTGGCCAAGGTCAGCTGCCTGAGCAAGAAAAAAGAGCCAATAGTTGAATAGAACTGTAAGGTCATAAAAAATTAACTACGCTGATTTTTAGTACCACTACTGCAAAACAGGTAACATTACACAAATATACAAAAGTAATATCAGGGGAGCCTTGCAGGCTTATTTGTTTAAATGGTTAATCACACTAGTGAGATCCTATTTACCCTTGACACACGGAAGCAAGTCCACGTTAGGGCAAGTGGTCCAGGTGTTTTCTGTGTAGCTAGGTCTAGTTTGTATGTTTCATCGTACTAAAACTGCTCAAGTCACCAACAGCCTGCTAGCAGGATTAAACAGCAAAATAGTCTACTCGTCAATGTTGTCTTTATTAGCACTATGTGTTACTGTTAGTTTCTTAAGCCAGTGAGAACAGTTGGAATGTGAATGTTTCTTAGTCTAGGAAGTAGATGTTATTTTAAGTAGGATTAGTTTTAAAGTAGTGTCATTTTACCTTGGTAACCATGTATTTTGTATTTTAAAAGTGTATATTTTCATGTCAAACAGTGGACTTAATATTGTTTTTCACTGAAAGTTGGTAATGATGCTATTCCAGAACAAATGATTTAAAGTCATGAATTTTTTTTTTTTTTGGTCTACATTCATACTTGGCATTCTTTCCTGTTCTCATCATTCTCATCTAAGCCCTAAGCATTAATCCATTTTCATATTAAATCCTTTTTGTCCTTCAGCAAGGAAGAAAACAGCTGCATAATTTTTGGAGGCTTTTCTTTCTGAATTGTTAAACAGTTTTTAATATGGATATTATTTTGCAGAACCATACATAACATTGCATAACCCTTTAAGGAATTATTAAAGAGCAGAATATAGTTGACAGGATCTAGTTTTGCACTGACACCTGGGTGCAGGATTATAGCTTCATTAGCAAAGATTTTTACTGCAGCACAGGGCGGTTCTCATTACATAGACTCATAAGTTGAATATATGCATCAGGCATCTTAATCAGAGCTTTTCTTCTCTGTCACTACCTTTTGACAGCAGGAAGAGTTGTAGACCTTTTTTGGTTTAAAAAAAGCCCATTATTTTTAAAGGGACTGCTTTCGTACTATTTCCTTTAATCACAGGAAATACATTTTTTCATAGCTAAATACAGGGTACTTCTGGACATGGTTTAGTGGGCATGGTTAATGGTTGCACTCGATGATCTTGAAGGTCTTTTCCAACCTAAATGATTCTATGATTCTATGATTCTATGCTGCTGAGATTAAATAAAAGCTTATTATTTAGTCATGTTGAGAGTACAGTGTGTCTACAGCACACAGGTAGAAATTATTCCTCTCTAAACAAAGAAATGTGTTTTGATCTTTTAATTTATTTTCTTCTGATACGGGGTAGAGTCCTCTGGTGACTTGCACTCCTCAGAAACAGTGTGATGTTGTTTACAGCAATGAGTTCGCCCTAATTCATCTTCCAAGAAGCATACATCCAAGCATATATTTTTATACAATATAGTTCTCCTAACTGGCATATCCTAGCTAGTATAAGTTTTGGTAATAAATCCATGATTCCTGTTTTCAAAGGCATGTAATAATTCTTCATATGCAATTATATTCTCATTTGTGTTCAGAGCAATTAATGAGTTGACTTACAAAGTATTGAAAATAATTGAGACATTGACTGGGGAAATAAGTACTGTATGTTACCATACTGGGAAACTGACTGCACAGTACTGTGGATCACAAGGCATTGTGCAAAAAGTAGCAAATGCCCATTGCACATGCTAAGCTTCTGACCAATCTCTTTTTTCTAAAAAATAAAAACCAAATAAATCTCTTTTTATAGCTCTAATGTTTTACCCCCAGCCAGCAGCTAAGCACCACACAGCCGCTTGCTCACTCCCCTGGCCCCCAGTGGGATGGGGGAGAGAATCATGAAAAGAAAAAGTGAAACTCACAGGCTGAGATAAAGGCAGTTTAATAGGACAGAAAAGGAAGGGAAAATGCTACTACTACTACTACTACTACTACTACTACTACTACTACTACTAAAATATACAAAACAAGGGATGCACAATACAATTGCTCACCACCCACTCACCGATGCCCAGCCAATCCCTGAGCCATGGTGCCCCCTGGCCAACTCCCCCCAGTTAATGTACTGGGCGTGACGTAATATGGTATGGAATATCCCTTTGGCTCATTTGGGTCAGCTGTCCTTGCTGTATCCCCTCCCAGTTTCTTGTGCACTCCCAGACTCTGCTGGCAGGGCAGTATGAAAAGCTGAAAAGCCCTTGACTTAGTATAAACACTGCTTAGCATCAACTAAAACAGTGTGTTATCAACATTATTCTCATCCTAAATCCAAAACACAGCACTATACTAGCTACTAAGAAGAAAATTAAGTTTATTCCAGCTGAAACCAGGACAGTAGCTATGGCATAGAGTTAATGAGAGGTACAACGAGTGCTGATAAATTAATGTGCATTCTTTTTGTGGATGTGTGTGTTGCTTGTGAAGATGCTAATCAGTGATGTTGCATTGTGTGATAAGAGAACTGTAAGAGCATACATAATTAATCTCAGTTAAGTACTGTACAGGGCATCGTTAAAGCATTCAGTAGATTGACATTTTAATAAGTTTTGTGATAAAAATTGGTGATAAAAAGTTGAATTAATCCGAATTTTTTCCAATTGTATAGGAAATGAACAATATCTCCTCAGCTGCAGAGTACTATAAAGATGTCTTAAAACAAGACAACACTCATGTGGAAGCCATTGCATGCATTGGCAGTAACCATTTTTATTCAGACCAGCCCGAGATAGCTCTGCGATTTTATAGGTATCTATACTTGTGGGGAGGGAGGGGGAACTGAATGTGTGGGAGGGTAATATAAAGGGTTGACTTTTGTAATGCTGATAGCAAAAAAAGAACATTAGGAGATTGTCATGAGAGAATGATTGAGCGTTTGGACAAATATCACCACAAAATCAGCATACCAACTTAACGTGTTTTCTTGGCCAGTGATAATTACATGTCTCTCTTAAAAACTTGTCACCATTACATGCGGAGTATGTAAAAGTATCAACAAAGATTATCAAAACAGTTATTATTTGATTAATAAACAAGAAATGATCTTTCACAGCATGAGGCAGTCTGAGAACACTGGACCTTACTCTCAACTTCAGTTGCATTCAGAAGACACATGGACTTCCTATTTAGCCCTTTGAAAAAGAGTAGTCTTTGAAAAACTCCACTTGAAGTCACAAGCAGTTCTGACCACAAAATCCCTTACTTGAACATGGGCTGGGGTTCCCCCATGTTTTACTGAAAGCAATAAAAAGATAGTGTTAAATGATGCTACTTGCTTTTTATTTCAATACAGTCAGAGTGCAAAGGAGCCTTATTCATGTTGTTAAACCTAAGAGCACGTTAAGTCAATATAAGCACTACCATCTCATTTTGGTTAGACCTGAGGTCTGTTATGCTTCAGGTTCAGAAACTCACAGTCATGCCACAGACAACAGTCCTCTTTTTCCCTGTCCCTCTTAGCGTATCTGTTTCTCATATAAATATTGATAAACATAATTTTTATAAAAGATCTCCATTCTAAAAGATGCAGGAAAAAACATAAATTTGAATCAAAATCTGAGTTATGCTTCAGATGTAGGATTAATGTAGTTTCACATACTAGATGTACTAGTAGTGATTGTAGCAGTGCTGAAGGGCAGGAATCAAGCAAAAAATTGAAGTCTGAAGAGTCATAAAAAGTAACTGCAACAAATTACAGCTTGATAGAGGTTGAGGGATTGGAAAGAGGAAAATGGAGAAAGGCTGCATACAGCTCTGTCTTACAGTAAAGTCAGATCATGTGGCACAGTCAAAAAGACAGAAGTTATCTAATTTACATGAAGACTGTTTTGCACAGCTTTGATTCTACTAATCAAAACTGTCCTGCACTGCTGTTCATGAAAACTTAACCAAGTGTAAGACTATAACACTTGGTTATTATACCCTCTCAGAATAGGGAGAAAGGAGGAGAGAACTTTGTAATTTAGAATAGAACTCTTATTTGAAATTAATCTAAAAAAAAAAAATTAAATATTTTCTTTCAATCTAGACGGCTCCTGCAGATGGGTGTTTATAACTGCCAACTTTTTAACAATCTTGGCCTCTGTTGCTTCTATGCTCAGCAATATGATATGACACTATCTTCGTTTGAACGTGCACTGTTTTTGGCTGAAAATCAGGAGGAGACAGCAGATGTGTGGTACAACTTGGGACACGTGGCTGTGGTATGAAAAATATTAACAACCTTTCTGAATAAATATAGTTTTACAAAAACTGGAAAAAGAATAACTAGGAAGGAGTCATTGCCCTACGTTGAAATATGAAACCTGATAGTGTACAGGATAAAGTGCAGTACAGATTAAAGGTTTATTTGCACTTCAGTAGAGAGGAAGAGGCAAAAGAAAAAAGTTCTGTACACCTTCACATAATGTGGCTTACTCCTGCTAAAAGATCTCCCTCACCATCGTGTTTAACCTTCCCTTCTTTCTAAAAAAATTGCAACATGTACTAGCCCTTGAAGGCCTTTGCTGCAATACAAGCTAATCTGATGAAAAAACTGAATTCAAGATTTTTTTCTCTGAGCTGTTATTTGTGTTACATGGAGCATTAGATCAAGTCTGTTGTCATAAAAATAACATACTCAGCAGCTTGTAGCAGACACTACAGCACTATGTAAGTCATAGTTGAGAAGGCATGTTCCTCTGTCTTATAGGCAGGTATAGAAATATTGTGTAATTGTGTGATAAAGTTTGTTAAATTTCTACACTAATTTGCATTCATTGGCCATTTTTTCAGATGTTCTTGTAGAGGTTGTGTTAGATTTCTGTTTAGCTGAGTGCCCAGAATAAGGTTACTGAATAAAGTTTTTGACAGCTTTCTAATATGAGTGGTCTTCAAATGCTGATTATGATTTAACTTGGGTCAGAAACTCAGCTGTTTATCTTGATTGTACTGCAACTGCATAAACACATAATTTATACTGCTTAAAACATTGAAATTTGACCTGATGTGCCTATATTTTTCAGCATTTGTCACTTTTAATGTTTAACCTGGTGCTGTATCAGTGTTGGTCATAATACTAAAGAGTAGTCAGCTGCTCCATACGAAGAAATTCACCTCCCTTAATTTTTATCTTCTAAAAACTAGGCCTATATGTGATTTTTTTTTAAATCTGTGTAGAGACAGAAAGGCAAGATGACTTCCTCTCTGGAGACATCTCTGTTTTTCTTGCTCTACCATAGATGGTAGCAGATAGCGTAGTCTTTAGATGACACTTTAGTTATCTAAGAGTTAAATTAGATGAAGTGAATATCACTTGGAGCATGGAAGTGTGTGCTGGAGAGAAATGATTCTGTCCAGAGGAAGAATAAGAAGCAAATGAGAGGGTCTGGGAAGAAAGCACATATGGTTCTGATCAGCATGTTTTTATTGTAATTTGTATTCCATGGTAGTACCTATGGGTGAAAAGATACTCCAGACAACAAAACAGATGCATGTTGTTTCCAATCTTTTCACAAATTAAAATACAGTCTTGCTTTTAGGGGATAGGAGACCTGAATCTGGCTTATCAGTGTTTCAGGCTAACATTAGTCAACAATAACGACTACGCGGAAGCTTACAACAACTTGGCTGTGCTGGAAATGCGAAAAGGTCACGTTGAACAGGTTGGTGTTGCATCTCAGCCTAACCAGAATGCTTCCTTTGGCCCTTTGGTACTTAAGATACGTGTCATTTCTCTGAGGTGGAGGCATCGTTTGAACATCTAGCTCACTATTACAGGCAGAAAACATAAATAACTTTTACACGTGTTTCAGTGTAACCTCCATGTTGTCGTGCCATCTCCCATTCAACTGCTAATTCTTAGGCATATCCAAATGGTTCACCAAATACAAACAAGGTTTACAGTGACTTTGCAGTTTTTGAGAACTTTTTCTAAATTGATACCCAAAACAAAACCCATCACTCTGTAATCATCACTTACATTAAAACTTCGGCTATATATTCAGTTTATAAATGTGGATAATATACTTTTGCTGGGTGGCAGAAGACAGCAATCAGGTCAGCTCTTAAAAGATTTTTTCAACAAGAAGATTGCTTTAGAGTTTTGTCCCAAAGCAGTAGGTTCTTGATAAATAACTTTTGCATCAGTAAGCTTGGTGGTTATCTAATGTGAGTATGCTGAGTTGTATGGTGCTTAGATGTATGGTTGACATGCCCAGTGGATTAAATGCATTCATTTTTTATACACATGCAGGGAAAATTAATATTAAATTAATTAATATGTAATTAATTATTATATGTTGGACAGTTTGAACTACTGTGAGCTTGTTTTAATCCTTATGGGAGCAAGCCTATTTTGATTGATTCATATATACATCAAGAGCTACAATATGATAGAAAGACTTGTAAATACCTTCCCAAACAGTTTACAGATACTTTTTTTTTAAAAAGATCAGGTTTTTTCCCCCGAAGTTCTCTATTTTTTAGTAAAAGCATTCACAAGTTGAGCTTAATTTTGTGTTGGATTTACAGCATGAAAATGCACACTGTGATGCTTAATTTTTCATTAAGTTTTAATGCTACTATTTAGTAGTCAGAAAAAACAGTTAATTTTATTACAATTTCTGAGTATGAAAGCTGTAATTTTTATGATAAAATTTAGGTTTTCAGGGATGGTTATGACAGTGCTGTCAGCTACAACAGATAAATACAGTGGGGTGGGACTTTAAATACTTTTTTTTTTTAAATTAATATATTATGTTCAGTGTTTAGAACTGAATTGCTTAATTGAATCAAGTTCCAACATGTTTTTGCTGACTCAGCCAAGAGTCTTATTTATTTCAATGCTATTAAACTGTATTATGCCTAAATGTACTATTGGTGTAAATCATGCATCGTTGAAGATGGCTTTCTTAGTAAAGGCCTAGTAAAGAAAACACAGGATGATTTCTTTTAAGAATGATGAAAATTGCATTAGATTCTTGTTATTCTCCTTCCCTCCCAGATTTCACTTTTTTTTTTCTTTCTCTACGTAGGCAAGAGCTTTGCTGCAGACTGCTTCATCTTTAGCACCTCATATGTATGAGCCCCATTTCAATTTTGCAATACTTTCAGAGAAGGTAATACACTATCCTGTTCTTGTAATCTAAAAATTGAGCCTTGGTGGGGCAGTTGGGTTTTTATTATTATTACTGAGAATTCCAAATAGGTGAGACAGAAGAATACAGAGTGCATAAACTCAAGGAAAACGGAAGTTACATTTTCATTTTAAAACCCAGAAGCTTTGTGTGTAAAAGTAGTTACTCAAATGTTTGCTTTTGAGAATAAGTGAGGCCAACTAGCTATAAAGTAACTTAGTAATTTTCCAAATGCCCAGAAGATGAACAATCCATTAACAATTACATCTACAGTCTTTACAGTCATTGGCTTTTTCAGAATGTGAAGTGAAATGGTATCATGATATATCAGTAATTATTCATCCCATGATCTTACTGAACTTAAAAGGAAAGTCTGTTCTTCAGTTTTACAACCTTTGAATTTTGTGTGTTAATGATTTCTTTCATATGGAATGTCTCAGACACTGAATTAATAGTGTGTCCAACATTCCTGTTAATAAGGAGAAACTTGTACGTCCTTACATTTTTCACAAGAAAAATTGCTCCTTTGCTTGTGCCTACACCTTCAAGATTCTGTTATGAGTCTGTGTTGTGTGGGCAGCTCAACTCCTACAGATACTAAAGTGCATGTGTCAAGGAGAGAACAACCCATTAATTTGTAAGCGTATCCTCTCCATTGTGAAACATAAGATGGTTTTGAATAATTACAATCTGTACTTACTGATTAAGGAGTAAATCTTAGTCTGCAAATGTCTTGTTACGTAGCTTTTGCACAAAGAACATGCATAGGTTGTGGGAGAAGACAGATGGCCAGATCAGCTAACTGTTGATGCAGGGTGATAATGCAATCCTTAGATTTGGTTTGTAAGGCCATGGTTTACAAAACATGGCTTCTCTGGCCAGGACCCTGGATTCTTCAGAGAATTCTTGCTGCACTGAAGCTCTCTGTTGGCTGATGCACAGGCAACAGAGGCCTCCTACTGACACTTTCCATAGCTTCTTCCTTTTCACCCAGGAGCTATCACTTTTACTACATGTATTCCCAAACATTTGGGTTCTTCTTTGCTGAACCACTTTGAGAAGATGTACACTTCCTCCTTCCAAAAAATGATGGCTATTTAGGAAAAAATAAAGTTCCCTAAGTAGGGAACAATGTGGAAACATAATTCTAAAAGCAGCAGAGGAGCAACATCAGCTCTCCAAGACTGTTGTGCCTCTCTGTGAGGAAGCAGGAAATCACATGGAGTGGAGGCTTTTGCAGAGGCCTGATTGGTAGTGTTTTGCCTGAATATACAACAGCACTTCTATGGAATTTAAAAACAAATCTTCCATTTCTTATTCCTCCTCATTTCAAGCACTAGGCATGGTGTACCTTGTTGTCCATTCTCCAAGAAGTCAGGTGGAATGGGACATAAAGTTACTGTCTTGAAGCATCCCTCCCATTAAAATCACATTTCTGTCTTTTTATTCTCATCCCTTGTTGTAAGTGGGACATAACCCTGAGTTCAAAAGCCTCCATACTGACTCTTGTTTTATTTGTTCGCTCTCAGGACCAGCTATGTTTAAACATTTGTAAGCGTCAGAAATGTACTGCAAAGAATACATGATGCAAATACTGCAGTGCTTGAATTTACAAAATTAGTTTGTGTGTTTCTTACAGGTTGGAGATCTTCAGAGGAGTTACACAGCTGCTCAGAAGTCAGAAGAAGCATTTCCAGGCCATGTTGATACACAACAGCTCATCAAACAGTTAAAACAGCATTTTGCTATGCTCTGACGATGTTTTTATTATGTAAGAACAGTTAGCCAGAGCGAACGTCCGATACATCTTTTTGAAAATGCTAGATCAAAGTAGACAAACTATAGTTAATGCATTTCTGTGGCAAAGCCTGTGTTACTTTCAGTAGCAGGAGAGGTTTAAGAGTCCCAATTAGTTTCTGTCATCATAAAACATACCGGTTACTAAAATGCAGCTAAAACACATTGCAACTACATACATGAGAGATTACAGGAATGGCAGGATACTGCCAGTATGACAACTTTGAAACATTTGTCTAGTATATGAGCAAGTAAGTCTCCATTTAATATTAATGAACATTTTAAAGGATTTTTTTCTGACTTTTGTGGAGAAAAAAAAAGTGTTTTTAAATACTTCTGTGTGACAATCTGTCAAGTAATGCAGAGAAAGAGTACTTCCTAACTGGTCTTCAAGCCTGGCTTTTGATAGTATACTTTCTTACTGACTGTGAAGTTTTAAAACTAAAATACCTAAAAAGAATTTAAAATATGTCTGTAAAGCAGAAGTCCTTATATTCCTTGTTGTACAGTATGAATTCAATAAATTCCATTTTGTATGGTTTGTATCGTTTGTTTATGTAAGTTAAAATTGCATCCTTATTGCCATGAAAATTAGAGTCAGGGATCTTAGTATCATAGAATCATAGAATCGTTTAGGTTGGAATAGACCTTTAAGATCATCGAGTCCAAGCGTCAACCATGCCCACTAAACCATGTCCTGAAGTGCCTTGTCTACGCATGTTTTGAACACCTCCAGGGATGGTGACTCCACCACTTCCCTGGGCAGCCTATTCCAATGTCTGACAACCCTCTCAGTAAAGAAATTTTTCCTAATATCCAACCTAAACCTCTGGTGCAACCTGAGGCCATTTCCTCTTGTCCTATCTCCAGCCACCTGACAGAAGAGACCAGCACCCCCCTCACTACACCCTCCTTTCAGGTAGTTGTAGAGAGCGATAAGGTCTCCCCTCAGCCTCCTCTTCTCCAGGCTAAACAATCCCAGTTCCCTCAGCCGCTCCTCATAAGACTTGTGCTCCAGGCCCCTCACCAACTTGGTTGCCTTTCTCTGGACACGCTCCAGCACCTCAATATCTTTCCTGCAGTGAGGGGCCCAGTATTTGAAGGACTCCACAGAACTGGTACAAAATAGCATAAATATGCATGTTCCTCTCTACCGAGGAGAGAGTTTATTCTTGAACTCAGTGAGGGAAAAGGATATTTAGAAGCTTGCAGAGTTAAGTACTAGTAATTGAGAACAAGGCATTAAGCCAGGTGGTTACCTGTGCTACCACATAAGCACTGTTGCTAAATAAATATCTGGACCATCCTAACTACAAGAATAGTACTAATAGCAACAAACACAGACTTTCTCTCTGTCATATATCTTTGTGTGCTAACTAAAAGGGATAAATTTGCATGATTTCCCAACTTGACCTTTTTAAAAGACCTTTAAGAAATGTGGGGTGTTACGGCATTCTGAAATGGCATGTCCTGAAACAGGCCTTTAAAATCTTTTTGTGTTTGTCTGATTTATTAAGGGATTATCTTGGCTTAGGGAGCAACCCTAAACACGCTTATGAATATTATGTCTTCCTTCTTACTATTTGTTACTTCCGTACCCTCACCTTTTATGACTGTTGTAGCTGGTGAAGGCAGATGCTGGGGAACTTAGAGAAGTGTACCAACAGGCTTCCCCACGGAGCAGTGTGTAGGTGACAGAAACACTATCATTAACTGGTGTCACATCATGTTGTAAAATGGAGAAGCATTATTGGCTAAATAGATGCAGCATATTTAATGGAAATTTTATTTTTTCCACACTGATCTTTATATTGTCAGAAATTAGTCACAAACTAATTAAGAGAGAACCTTAGTTATCAGTAATTTTCATTACCTAAATAAGATTGTACTTTCTGCTAAAAACAAAGAATTTATAGGGAAGTTCCATCCTTTGATCTACTGTACTTAACATCTTTCCGGTTCACAGTGCTAAATTTAGGAAGCTAGCAGAGAAGAAAATGTTTGTCTTAGCAGTTTAAACACAACTGTTGAGAATTTTTGAATGTCGTATTAACTCAAAGTATTTTTAAAATTGCATACTAAATAAGATTATTTCTGCATGAACTAGAACAGAAACTAGTAATACAATTTCAGTTTTTAATCCAGTGTGGCAGCTCAATAGTTCCTCATAGGTGCTTATAAGATCCCACTTAATGTGATCACTGCTCAAGTTAATGATCTGATTAACTCTTCTTTTTAGCAAACAGTGCTCCTTAGAAGATAGACCTGACATGATTATTCTTTTAATATTGGGGGATGTGTGGAGAGCGAAAGGGAAAATGCTCATGTATGGTAAGGAATCCTTTACACAAGATGGTTGTGCAAATTAATTATAAAAAAAACCCACCCCCCACACAAAGTTCTAAATAAGGATTAAAACCTTTTTAGCTCCCTAACGTGCAGCATCTGCAAGCCATTCAAAATTTATCTTACATGGTGTATTTTGATTGCCCCAAAAGGCAGCAGCTATTTGCTTTATTGACCTTTCCTGCTCCAAAGCAAGGGTACGACTATTTTTTTCATGACTAGCACACATACTAATTAAATCAAATGCAGTAATGAGAACAGCACCACAACGAAACAACAGATGAATGAGCAAGCTGTTTGTCGTGGAAGAATCTTTCGATTTTGTTGTATGCTAATTCGGTGTGAGCTCCAACGAACAGATGAATCGGCAGACCCTGGGGCAAACCGCCTTCAGTTAATTGAGGACGACATAGCACAATAAAATGCATCAAAATCTGTATTCATCTCTGCAGTAGGATCATGTTAGGACGGTGTGACCTTAATATTGCAAGCAGCATTTCTGCAACATGGAAATCATTTTTCCTCTAACCTGTAGCACAGCTCCAGCTATGTCCAGCCAGCCTTTATAAAGCCCCTTGGGAGTAGAAAATAAAACACAACAAAAAACCAACACAAACAATTTTTTAATTTACAGAGGAGGTGGTGTCCACAACAATGCTGCCCGGAAGGAAGCTCAACGCAGATTGCTGGGAGGTCTTGAAGTTTCTATGTCCCTGCAGGAAAGGTCTGTAGTTTATGGCTGTTACCACCAATTCCAGTCAGTCTTTTGACCAGCCCTCTTGCTGAGGTCCTTCTGATGGATGAATCCATTTAAAAGTTGATAATGAAGGGTTAGGTTATTAATAGATTTTGATTGTTTTGCAAGATGTTATAGCCACAGCACCAGCTACAAAACTGTGGCTGAAGTTAATAAGAATTCACAGTTAAGGGTTGTGGATCATTTTGGCTGGAAAAAGCATCTTCAGAGGTCATTGGGCAGGACAGGAGGAGTTTGCCATTAGGTGCCAGTTCATAGAATTATACAATGGTTTGGGTTGGAAGTGACCTTAAAGACCATCTAGTTTCAACCCCCCTGCCATGGGCAGGGACACCTTCCACTAGACCAGGTTTCTCAGAGCCTCATCCAGCCTGGCCTTGAACACTTCCAGGGATGGGGCATCCACAGCCTCTCTGAGCAGCCTGTGGCAGTGTCTCACCTGTTTCTATTCGACAGCTCTCATGTCTCCTTATGTTGTGCCAGCCAAGGAGCATGGATTTGTCTGAGCTCATTATCAGGGTGATCCTGGTGAGTGCTTAAGTGTCAGCTGGGAGAAGCTGAGTGTCTCTGCTCCCGCTGAGGGCAACAGATGCTGAAGATGCTCAGCACTTTTTCTGATACTCTCTGCACCTTCAACCTTAAAATAACTAGCATCTTTCACTATCTAACATTTCCTATCATTGCACAGTGGTGTGGCATATCGTCTGTATGATTTTGTCCTTTTCCCCTCCTTCCTCCCTAGGCTTGGACTGTCTGAAAGGAACAGGAGCTAAAGCATTGGTACAGGGTGCAGCTAGTGTGGTAGCCTTCAAACATGTTAACGGGATGTAAAAAAGGGCTCGGGCGAGCTAGATGATACAAACAGAGCCACTGAGCTGCCAGGTGAGGAATGTCCCTCCAAACTGCCTGGTGCTCCTCAAGAGGCAGCGCAAATATGACTTGAGGGTCAGTGAGGACACCTGAATGTCAAAGAGCTGTGTGAGGCTTTCCTGACAAGTTTTAGTCACGCTTAATAAAGAATACCTGGTAGCAATCGCATGTTGGGATCATGCAATTTGGTCTAGTCGTTAGAAGAGAGACCTGGAGAGGGGAGCACCCACATCCCAGACCCAGCTGGTGCTCCCAGCTTCAGCACATTGTGCTTTTCCGTCCCTCCATTTCCACATGTGTAAAATAAGGCTAACAGGATTGTTGCTGCTATTATTATTATTATAAATTAATGCATTTTCTGTCAGCTGACCCCCTTTTCCAATGCTTGCATCCAGTGAGCACTGGGCTTTTTGCGTGAATAATCCTTAAGTGATGATGAGAGGCAGTGTGCAGGGGGGAGACAGGACTGAACTCTTAAAGGACTTTGTCTTTGATTTCCCTCAGTAACACTCACAAGCACTGGGAGAATAAAAGCTGTGCAGGAAGCCGGAGCGCTGCAGGCGCGCTGGGCTCACAGCACTTCTCCTCCTCTCCGACAAAGGCAGCATCTTCCCTTGCCTGCTGTCACCTCCCATTAATGTCAGGAAAGTTCACTTGCTGCAGCTTTTGCAAGTGAAAAGCTAATATGTTCGTGAGGTGGGAGAAGAGGCCGTTTGTTTGTCTAAGTAAGGTAATGCTAACACCACAAATGGCAAGTTGAGATTCAGGGAAGAGCATTGCTTTTTAAATCATGCAGGAGGACCTCTTTGTTTTATTTATTCACAGGGCCTGAATCAACAGCTGCCCAGACAAAGATATTTAAAGAGAGCAAACAAAAAGGAGGCTGTTCACCCTGCGCTCCAGGTACAAATAGAGAAGAAAGAAGAAAATGTCAAATCTGCATAAACCCTGGATGGCTCCCCAATGCATATTAAAAATACCTCTTTTGAATACCATCTTGTAACTACAAAAAAGTTGAGGCAACCTTTTCTTATTT